AGAGAGAGAGAGAGAGAGAGAGAGAGAGAGAGAGATACACACACACACACACACACACACACACACACACAGACACACACGAAAAAAGCTCACACACTGCTCTTTATACGTGACAGTCTCATGCTTGTCTGTTGTGTTAGGAACACGGCTAAGATCTTACTTCTCAAATTGTAATCTGCTTTCTTTTTGCTCAACCCTTAGTATGTAAGCTCCTTACTGTGAATCAAGCAACTAATTACAGTGCAGCTGCTGCAGAAAGGAATCATTTCTAACCAAGAGAGAAACAGTTTCAAGTTTTTTTTGTTTTTTAAATAAACCTAAAGTAAGGCCAATGCTACAGCTTTTTTATTTACTGTTATGAAATATCCTAGACCTATTTCCTCACTGGCTAAAAGGCAGAAAATCGGGCCTGTCTATGTAAAAAACCCAACAAAAAACAAAGACAATATCACTGTACCGTATAACTGAGACTGTAGCATTTTTAAAAAATCACTTGGCATTTCCTTTGAATCTTGGCAGTTGCATGCAACTTGAAAATGAATTTTGCTGATGACAGCTGAAGGGCACAAAATGATGACTTGAGAAAAACAGCAGACGTCCAGCACACTTAGTCAGCTTGTGCATGTCGATCATTAGCTTGGATTAGTTGACTGCTTAAATATTATTTATTTATCTTTAACCTGAATTTATGAATGACCACTCTGTGTTAAACCATATTGCTGGACATTGCCTCCCTGGCTTCCCTGGTCTGCTTTGTCACTTAGAATATAAGATTGGTGATAGCTTGTTTTACTGTGAGGGGGGCAGGGTACTTTCTAATCTCTTCCTGATCCTCCACAAAAATCCTTTAGTTTGATAACTGTTTCTTCCAGGACCTTCTGGAAAACATTATCCAGGCCTTGAGCTTGATACTACTACTGAATGCTTACACTGGCATTAATAGCTAACGTGACTGTTTGAGAAGATTTCATGGTGCTGGTTTATTAACTATTATCTGCCATTTCTGCTGTTTTGGATGTGTTTTGTCAGCAAGTTGAGCTGTTATCTCCAATTATCATTTACCAGGAAATCTTAATAGCCTATTAGGCGCATAGTGCAAACTTTAAAAGCTCTATAAATGCTTTTATTTAAATATACTAACATACGACATACAAATTGGAAGACGTAGATTACAGACTGAAACCTATTTTTAGTTCCAGTCTGTAATGACGTCAATAAAAATGTTTTCCTTGTTGTTGAAACTTTTCGAGACTTTTCAAGCTCAGCCAGCACGTGCACCTTAAACCTTGTGCCTGTGGCCAAGCGTCTTTCCGGTGTAGGAGCCTAAGTCTGCATGCAACAGTAACACTGCGGGAGAAACTGGAGCACAGTTGACACAAATTGAGAGCAAATCCTTTTGGTAGCTCCCCCGTTAAAGTCCACGTTAAAGACACCAAGGATGGAGTTTAGCCTCCAACCAGCTGCTTCGTGAGCTGTGACACACAGCGTAGAGGAGAAGTAAGATGTCCAGTAGCTGTGTTATTGGGTTGTGACAACTTAATTTATGATTCCTTTCACTTACTGTTTTGTTGGGGCATGCATCAAAAAGCTGAGCATTCCTCGATTCCAACCAGACCAAGGCTTTATTCCTCGCCCTATTTATGCCTTCCTTTTGTTCACATGCCACTGCCAAAGCTGCCTCGTTTTTTGTTTTTTTTTTAGACGTTTTTGAGTGTAGCACTAAGAGCCAAAGTCACTTGTTTGGCAATTGACTGCATTCTGCTGCATTGATTTCCATATGAAATGGGCAGCAGCACTTCGCTCTGACAGCGTTTCATGCTGCCAGCAGACGTTTTCTCAACTTTTCTCCGCTCACATCCATTGAGTGCAGAGGGCTGCACCAAAACAAGACGGCACTGATGAAAGCGTGAAGACTTCTTTTGACATACCCCATGTGACAAGAAAGAGATGTTTCACAACAGTTTTTTTCTTTTTGTCAGAAGGTGGCATATAGTATGTTCTTCTCTGGTTCTGCAGCTTGTAAGGCTTACTTTCCTCTACTTTTTTTTAGGACGACACTTCAGAGTTACGAGTTTGCATCACTGCTCACACCTCTGTTGTGCCATTGTAATTTCACAGAGGGATTTAAGGCGTTTGGGGGGCTTCATTCGGAGGAAAATTCCACTCGTGCGCTTCTTTGTCGGGCGTTCTTATCCTCATCCTCAGACAGAGTAGTGCTCTTTCCTGCTGTGGGTTTAAGTTGCTAATTAGAAAAGACAAAGCCAGAAGGAAGGGGAAAGGAAAACAACAACATTACAGAAAAGCCTCAGCTAAAACTCTCATTAGAAAACACTAATCATCACCGCCCCCCCCCCACACACACTCACTTAAAAAAAGCATTCTTAATAAGACCTTTGCTTTGTCCTTTCTTAATTTTGACTGACTTTCTCAGTTTAACAACATAATTTAAGGATTTGGAAAAATGTTCTATTGTGAATGTAAGAAGAAACCTAACACAAGATAGTGCTGTTAAAGGTTCGGCATCAGTGCACGGTATCTGTCACCATTCCCAGAAGTAATGCTGTCAGGAAACACTGGCTGCATTTGAAAGCATCCAGTAGATTGGTTTCTTCCTGGCATACTGGCCTTTAAGGTGTCACTGTGCGCATTTATAGCTTCTATACACCTCTAGATTTATTTCAGTGGTAGAAGAAGTACTCAAAATACTTCTCTCTTTAAGTAAATAAGGAGAAATACATAAATGTTAAAAGACTTCATTGCAAGTAAATCTTCAGCATGAAAACTGATTTCAGATAAATGATGTAATGTAGTGCCAGCAAGATGTAGTCAAAGCAGAAGGCTATAAAAGAAGTGTTTGCCCTCCCTGAGTTAAGTATTGTTACATGTCATTAGATAACTAATTGGCAAGCATCAATGGGTAAGCAGCATGCTACTTGCTTTTACTTGCTTTCATGTCACAATAAAAATTGTCACCTTAAAGTGTACTTACTTACAAATCACGATTATATTCTTATTTAAGTCTTAATGAAGCATTTTCTCTGGAAAAATCACTTTCTTTTAGATGTTTACATTGATAGGATTGCGTCCAGTTTCACAGTCAATAGCAATAAATATATTTTTTATTCCTTTTTTCTCTTTTTGAAACTCCTAGTTGTCCTGCACAGACAACACTTCTTTTTATCAGCGTATATATGCTGTTTTTGTTTAACAGATTTAGTCTTTTTGCTACTTGTGTCCTGCATCCAACGCTTCTTCCACGCTATAGTTGAAACCTCTAGGATCATTGACTTGTAACAACGACCTCCTTTGAGCAAGTTTGTGAGCAATTTTATCATTAGTAAACTGAGCAGGAAAAAAGGTTTGCTTCCTGGATAGCTGCTGGCAGAGTTAAAAATGTGGCCCTTTTTTTTGTTGAGTTGGTTGTAAAGCAGTTAATTGGAGACAAGAAGGCAACCTACACAGCTATTTTAGTGCAGAAGCACCGGCAGTGACCACACAACTGCTTTAGAAGCAATCTATCATTAAAATAGTCCATAACTCAAAGCAATGATAAACTCTTGGCGCTAAATATAGTCTGTGTTTCCTTTAAATAGCATTTAGTACCATCACTCAACTGCCCGCTGGCTTTTCTGACCTTGCAGACACATTTTCACTCAGCTAAAGCTGAATTGCACCATAACAATGTTTCCTTGTGGCCAAAACCATTATTGTGAAATTGTAAAGGCATGATATAGGTTACTAAAGCCCTAGATTTTAGATAAAAACTCTCGATTTTTAAAAATTCTCAAGAAGGTATTTGATCAAGGGGGAACGTTGTTTTCAAAATGCTGGATAAGACAGGACAGAGACAGACCCCCAACCCTGAGCATGCACCACCAATCACCACCTCACACTTCCTCTCATAAAGAATTTGGGTTGAAATGGCTGCGGTACCACCCAGTACCAGTATTTATTCTAATTACATTTCTGACTGGACGGGAAAAGCATGCACCATAAATCAGGCTGTCAAAGAGCCCATCAGAATTGCACATTCCTATTTGAACGGGGTCTGATGGAGTGCTCTGCCTCTGAACTATGCTGCTTGAATCAATCTCTCCTGGTAAACGTCAGGGAAGGTAGAGCCGTGGTACCTTATCTCTACCATTGCCCCTCAGTGAGAACATCAAAAGGAAGCTTGGGAAGAGCGCAGTGAAGGTTGTGTAACTGTCGGTTGGATGGCTGGCACGTTTGTCTCCAAGGCTCATCAATGCTGTTTGCAACAGACTATATCAGAGAACGCCTACCCTCCCTCCCCATGGCCTGTTTTTCAATGCATATATAAAAGACAATTGATTCATAATTTATTTGTATTTATTTATGTTTTGTTTTGGACAGGATGACAAACAGGAATACAACTAAAATTGAAATTTAACATAGAATGCACATTTTGGGGAACAAAAGCTTAAGCTGAACTCAAGCTGTGATTGCATGTAGGATGTGAATTGGGGCAGTTCCGCTGCGGGACAGGTCGATGTATCCCCGGTGACTGGCACTGTGACGGGACGTCAGACTGCGTCGATGACTCTGATGAGCACGACTGCCGTGAGTTACTTATTAAATTGCATTTTTTGCCAATATGATGCCTGCAATGGTTTTAATATTTCATGTACAACGCTTGTTAGATGTGAGTGTTTTCGGTAGTGGAAGGAACTAAATCCTGCTATCGATGAAAATATATTGCAATAAAGTGTTTCTGTGTGTACAGTAATTAGTAACGTTAGTGTGGTTGTAGCTGAGCACAAGTAAAGTATAAGTAATAAAAAAATACACTTGATCAGCAGTAAAATTTGTACTTCTGGATTTCATTCGGGAGGTGTAAGTAATGAAATGCTCTGTCTCACAGCTCAGGTAACGTGTGATAGCAACCATTTCCAGTGTCTGAGTGACGGCGAGTGTATCCCAAACCTATGGGTGTGTGACGATGAGGAAGACTGTGAGGATGGCTCAGATGAGAGGCAGCACTGCCGTAAGTATATTACATCATTATCAGATTATAAAGGGAGCTGTTTGGTGATTAAGTAAACCTATTAAAAAATACTTAGAATGAAATATTTGAAATAATTTGAATTCTTGCAAACATAAACTATGGCCATGTGGGATTGAACATTGAAATGTTTAACAGTGACCCCCCACATAGTCTGTGGGACTGAAGTAAGGTACGGTGATGACTTTTAAGTCCCTTTATCTACAATAAAATGAAATTTGAACTGCACATAGATGAATACAAATTTTTTTTTATCTCTTCCTAGCTGGAAGGACATGCACCAGTGGCCAGTTCAGCTGCAGTAATGGTGCGTGCATCCCAGGAGAGTACCAATGTGACCGTCTGGCAGACTGCTCAGATGGTTCCGATGAGAGAAATTGCCGTAAGTCTTCTCCAAGGTGGTTCCCCCCTCTTTTTTTTTTTTTTTTATCTCAGGCTCCTGTGGCATTTTAATCAATTTGTTAAGATTAAGAGGCTCGCTGACTGACAGAATGGACCACAATATGCTTCTTGTTGTCAGAGGTTGATTGCAGATTCTTTGGTGGATTAGTCAAGCTGAAGTTCAGCTGCTATGCCATTATTGTGCCGACATGGTAGACTCGCAGCACTGCACACGGTGGTAATCTCACAATTGCATAAAGAATGCTGTGGCAACTGCTGGTGCTGTGGTGGTGCTGTTAAATGTTAGTCTCTTATCCCTCCTATTCACAGAGCTTTTCACGTTGTTAAAGGCTGAAAAGAGCACAGTTGTCAGGCTGATTTAAATGCATAACATTTGCCTGATGATGGGTTAATCTTACAGATTATCCCGAGTGTACACAGCTGAGGTGTGCCAATGGGGCCTGCTACAACCGGACCCAGAGATGTGACCAGATACTTGACTGCCGCGATGGCTCTGATGAGGCAAACTGCAGTAAGGAGACACTCAATTCTGGTGCTAATGCGTCAAGTGAAAGACGTTTTGGGTCTTCCAAAAATACAACCAGAAACATGACGAAATCAACAAATCAAGTCCTTTTTTTGTTCCCTTTCTGCTGTGATTTCTTTAGCACAGCGCTGCAATGCGGGCCTGTTTTCATGTCATAATGGGATGTGTGTCCCTCAACGCTACGTCTGTGACCACGACGATGACTGTGGAGACCGAAGCGATGAGCTTAACTGCAGTATGTGGCTCCCGTCGCTGTCACCGTCACTAATTACTGTTATTTTGGTGCAGATAAACAAATGTCTTATTCCCCCCTTGCTCTGCAGCATATCCTACATGTAGAGGCAACTACTTCACGTGTCCCAGTGGCCGCTGCATCCATCAAGTCTGGCTTTGTGATGGAGAGGATGACTGTGAAGATAATGCAGATGAAAAAGGCTGTGGTATGTATACAGTAGCTAAAAAAATCAGTCAACGTTTATCTGCTTTATCTGTAAAATTAGAATGAGAAGCCTTGGTACTTAGCTGGACAAATAGCATTGAAAGGGGTAAGAACTGGAGCTGTGTAAACCTGATTCATCTTTAGTCACCATGGTTGGTTTGGCTTAGAGTGATACTATGCCTGTGCTCCCTTAAGTGTGGTATTCAAATGCCTCTTTGTGACACAAGATTGTGCAGCCCCCCAAAGTGCTTTAGAATTCCTCCACATGGCTGTGAAGAGTGTGTGTTTTTAAAGGATGGGCTGCAGAAGCTCTCTGAGCCCCCATGTGACCCCCCTCAAAGCTCCACTCCTTTACGTCAATTTAAAGTGACAGCCATTTCCCGGACAATGACCCAGCCACAGTTTTCTTTAGATCAGAACCACTGAATATCTGTTCTATTCCCAACAACTGTACCACCTTTAAAACTTTTTTCAGCTCTGTTTTTTATTGTTGCTTTCCCTTTCTGTGTATAATCCTGCAAAGTGGATGAATTTCTTTTTTATCTACAGATAATGTACAACGGGAGTGTTACCCAGGAGAATGGCCATGTCCATCTTCTGGCCTGTGCATCCCCTTGGATAAGCTTTGCGATGGGACGCCTAACTGTCCAGATGGAGAGGATGAAACTAACACCACTGCTGGACGCAACTGCAGTTAGTATCAACACAACCAGTGTTGTGTACTATTGAGTACACATTAGGAAATCTAATCTCACAAACGGTGTCACTGAAGAATATATCAGCAGTCAGGTTTCTTTTTTGGTCAGGTATTTGGAGATGTGCCTCCCTGAGCTGTGAGCATCACTGTCATGCTTCTCCTGATGGTGGAACTTGTTCCTGTCCTTCTGGATACATTGTCAACAGCAACAACAGTCGCACATGTATAGGTAGATACTGTAGCTATCACTAACATCTTTGACTAAACAGTGGTATGGGTGAGTTGGGATTTTTTTTTAATGCTTTTCATTATGACAGAAATATGTTTCTTTTGCTATGTTTCTAAAAGCCAAACATGTGTAGTTTATGTTGACATCTTGATGCACCAAATCATGTGACGGTAGAAGTATGAGTATATTTTGAACTGTTGTTTTTTTTCAGGGTGATATGATTATATGGAATACATCTTTAACAACTTCAAAAACCAACAATTGGGTGCACAAGTTTTCATTTATTTTGGATTTTCTCTCATCCACACAGGGTGAAAAGTATGCACACAGGCTCAAATATACACAGTGGTGTGAAAATGTATTTGAGTTTCTGATTTCCAATGTTTTTTTCTGTTTGACACACTTAAATGCTTCAGATCATCAAACAAATTTAAATATCAGACAAACATAACACAAGCAAAAACAAAATGCAGTTTCTAAATTAAGGTGTTTATTATTAAGGGGAAAAAATCCAAACCTACATGGCCCTGTGTGAAAAAGTAATTGCCCCCTAATCCTAATAACTGGTTGGGCCACCCTTAGCTGTGGCAACTGCAATCAAGCATTAGCGATAACTGGCAATGAGACTTTTACAGCACCAGGGGGGAATTTTGGCTCAGTCTTCTTAGCAGAATTGTTTTAATTCAGCCAGGTTGGAGGATTTTTGAGCATGAACCACCTTTTTAAGGTCATGCCACAGCATCTCAGTTGGATTCAGGTTTGGACTTCAACTAGGCCCCTTTAAAGTCTTCAGGTTGTTTTTCTTAAGCCATTCAGAGGTGCTGGTGTGTTTTGGATCATTGTCCTGTGCATCAGCTTGGATTCACGAACAGATGGACAGACATTCTCCTTCAGGATGTTTTGGTAGACAGTAGAATTCATGGTTGCAATTACCACAGCAAGTATTCCAGGTCCAGAGGCAGCAAAACAGCCCCAGACCATCATATTACCACCACCATATTTCGCTGTTGGTATGATGTTCCCTTTCTAAAATGCTGTGTTAGTTTTATGCCAGACATAATGTGACACACACCTTCCAAAAAGTTCGGCATTTGTTTTGTCGATCCACAGAGTATTTTCCTAAAAGCTTTTGTCTTGTCAAGATGTTTTCATGACAAATGTGAGAGGAGTGGGTTTATTCTTTCTACCATGCCATTTTTGCCCAGTCTCTTTCTTATTGTTGAATCTTGAACTCTGACCTTAACTTGTGACATGTGAAGCCTGTGGTTCTTTAATGTTGTTCTGGGTTCTTTTGTGACCTCTTGGATGAGTTCTTGCTGCGCTCTTGGAGTACTTTTGGTACGCTGGTAACTTCTGGGAAGGCTCACCACTGTTCCAAGTTTTTTCCAGTTGTGTATAGTGGCTCTCACTGTGGTTCAATGGAGTCCCAAAGCCTTAGAAATGGCTTTGTAACCCTTATATTATAAATAAGTGTCTGTTACCATCAATAAGCTTTTTGTGTAATTTGACCACTCTTCTTTGCAGAAATGGTAGAATACATTTAAACTGGTTGGTTCCCTAGCAAAGACTGAGATTTTAAGTGTAGCCCATAAACTTTCAATATGGAAGACCCTTCCAGAGTGTTAATGTTAGTCTGCTTTATCCTTTCCAAAAACCAGTTTTGATGTGTGTTTAGGGTCATTGTCCTGTTGGAACACCCAACTGTGTCCAAATTTTAACCATCTAGATGTTTATCTGAGGTGAGGTTCAAGAATTTGGAGGTTGTCCTCCTTCTTTATTCCATCCACTTTGTGCTGTGTATCAGTACCACTGACAGCTAAACAGTCCTTGAGGATGATGCTACCACCACCATGCTTGACAACTGATACAGTTGTCTTGGGTTGGAAAGCCTCGCATTTACTTATCCTCTTCTCATTGTGGCCAAATGCCTCAATCTTTGTCTTTGTCTCAGTCTTTTGTGCTTATATACAGTCGTTCAAACAGATGATCTTGCAAGTTGTTTAGAAGTCATGATCACAACCAAGAACTTAATAGACTTTGGCCTTGTCAAATTAAAATACATTGTAGAACCTTAAGCAGCAACAATCTAAGTGAATGTATGTGTATATTTGAGCCTGTATGCATACTTTTGACCTTGTGTGGATTAGAGAAATTTCAGAATAAATTCAAGTATATGCATCTAATTCTTGTCTAATTCTTTAGAATCCATAAAGATGCATTTGCTATAATCATACCAGCATGTTTGAAGAACAATTCAAAAAAACCTAAAATAACTACAAAATACATGTCCATGATGAGTGTATGTAAGCTTCTGATCGCAACTGCAAGCGCAACAGACCAGGCTGAGATTCGGCTCTCGGGTGTGTTTGTGTATTCAAATTAAACAACAAGAGTTTAGTCCTCACTTGCTGATACTGATTTCTGTTTAAAGATTTTGACGACTGTTCTATGTGGGGCGTGTGCGACCAGCTGTGTGAGGACCGGATCGGCTCCCATCGTTGCAGCTGTCGAGAGGGCTACATCCTGGAGCAGCACAGATACTGCAGAGCTGATTCCTCTAGTAAGTGTCACTTTCTCTCTGTTTAAACAGTTTAACATACATAACAAATGTTCACATTTTGAAGGTTCGAATGATCTAGCCAAATGAGGTCTATTAGCATAAACACCACGCCTTTTTGGCAGCTACTGCACACATTGTGCGAGTTTCTTTGTGGTGCATTGTTGCGTAGTAAATGTTGTTTTAGTTTGTCTCTAGCCTTTGTGTAACATAGAAAGAGTGTTGTCCGAGAGGCTGACCTCTGTGCCTTTGGCTTTAGTGAGAAATCTGTGTAAAAACGTTGGCTGCGTTCTTTTCTAAGGTTTTGTATTTTGTTTCCCTTGCAGCTGGAGTCCCTTCCTTGATATTTTCTAATGGCAGAGACCTGCTGATAGGTGACATCCATGGCAACAATCTGCGCACTTTAGTTAATTCACAGAACAGAGGGATTGCAGTGGGAGTCGATTTTCACTACATTCTTAATATGATCTTTTGGACGGATACGATCCAGAACAAGGTGTTTTATAAAGAACTGTCACATTCATTGTTTTGTTTGAGCTTTTACTTCTGTGTTAGTCATTCATGTTTTAGAATGTAAGACCAATTTCTTGTTTGTGCAAATGCTCGAGTTAGACTCGCGCTGGCCAGGACCAAATTCTTTCAGTCATCCTATAAGATATCAGCAATGTTGATACTATAATAATGGGATAGCTGTTGGCCCCATTGTGGCTGGGTCATAATGAAGGGGAAGTAGATATGGAGTGGAATCCAAATGGCCTAATCTTGAAACCTGTCTGATAGGCTGGTATGATGTTCACATACCACAGTGCAATTTTTGTAATTCAATCCTGTAGGATCTAATCACGCAGTATTTGTTTTCAGTGACACTGTCCATTAATGTGGATTCTTTGGCCGGGTAAAATGTCTTTGTTCAGATTATGTCTTGGCTTGTCTCTGCTTTAAACTGTAGCCAATTAGCTGAAAGGGTGACACTGTGCTTGAGGAAGTACTTTTACTAAGGTAAAAGTAGCAATACAAAATAAAGTGAAAGTGTTAGATTTCAAACCATACTTAAGTAAACTAAAAAGAAATAAAGTGTATAAAGTATTTATTACATACCAAAATAGGCTTTGCCAGTATGCAACCTTTTACATTATACCACTGGGTTTTAGTACTGGTATGACCAGCATTTTAACATTGCAGCTAGTTTTTCCTGCACAGTGTTTCCCAGAAAGGATTTAATCACAGCATGATTGGAGTTACGCACATTGTGGCAGACAGGGTTTCATTTCCTCAAACCTAATAGAGATTTTTGCTGATCAAATGCTCAGAAATAAGTGTATATATTTCTGTTGATAAGGTGGCATTTTCCTTTACTGTGTTTCCATTGCAGGAAAAACCCAGGTACCTTAGTAAAAACCGTGGTTTACTCATTAAATATGGTGTCAGATTGCTTAAGTAGCTTAATTATACAGTCATTATGTCACAATGGTTTTAATGTTGTTCTTTGTTTTAAAGTAACCACTACCTACAGCTGTTAGATGAATTTAGGGGATTAATAACTTCAAATTCATTCATTTGAAATTCGAATTTTATTTAAGTACAGTTTTCTAAATATTTATTTTCTCCGTTACTTCTCACCTCTAAAGCTAGAACAATTATTTGTTTGAAAAAGTTGAGTTTCACAGGGCTCTATGCCATGATTAAATAGCTTGTAGACCCTCCTGTTGTAGCAAAAACATGACGTGCTATGTTTTCAGTGCTGTATATTATGGCCAAAATCTCCACTTTGGTCTCCAGATGGAGCTTTGCCAACATAAGTGATGCTACTGAATGCTGCAGACCAGCAAACTGAAAAAGCTTCTGCTGTTATAGAAGCGCTCACACGTGCTGATGATCAGATAATCATTAGATTAGCAGCACCTGGCTGCTGCTTACCCTCTTGATTCCTATGTAAGCAGCAAAAGTGTACTTAGTTTTTCACAGTATTACACAGAGTCCTGTGAAAACTTTCTCACATGACTTTACCGCTGACTGGGCATCTGTGAATATTAGCCACCTCCATGGCAGCATGTCCGATTAAAAGTAGGGAGAGCACAAACAGGGCATGTGAATGCAACCGGAAAGGTTAAACTACCAGGCTATTTCCACATCTTCAGTTTCTCTTTAAACAGGTCAGTTGAAATCCTGCTTTTAAGACGTGTGGATCTTGTTTCAAATGAAGCAGAGCTGCTAAAAGCAGTGCCCGTCTAACCACCTGCACACTGCCAAGTTTTCCAAAAATCTGTTGAATTCATAGTAATGGGAGACAGAAACTTGACAGAAATGTCAAAAGCCAGAAAACTTAAATAAGCAAACATACACTGTCTGATGCTTCCTTGACTCTTGACTGTTCTAGATTGTACTTAAATACTTGTCAAAGCTTTAAGCTCTAACTGTATGCCAGTATGCAATCCACATTCATACTGGCTTTAATTTCAGTGGTGACAGACAAAATCTTGGGCCTATGGTCTTAAAAATACACACATAAATAAAAAATAAAGCTAATATTAGGGTTTACTTTAATGAGACTGGACAAGCATTATATTTAGATTCACTAGAAAACAGATGAATGAAGCCTATAAGATGTTCCTATATTTTTTTTCGTAAAGCGTGACCACCTAAAGACTAATATTCTGAAAACAATGACATCTTTTGTGTACAGGTGTTTTCCGTGGATATGGCCGGTTCCAACATGCAGGTGGTTTTAAATGTATCAGTTGACTACCCTGAGAATTTGGCAGTGGATTGGGTGAACAATAAACTGTATGTAGTGGAGGCCAGCGTCAACAGGATTGACATGGTGGACTTTGATGGAAGTAACCGGGTCACACTCATCACTGAAAACCTCGGAAACCCTAGAGGACTGGCGGTGGACCCCACTGTCGGGTAAGCACATCTCCCAGTTTCCATTCATCTGTACTTCCATTCCCAATCCCCACATTCAGTATCTGTCGTGCTCCATTGGCATGGAATAATGGGGTGGAGGGGGGGAGGCAGGTGAGATTAGCAGATTGCCCTGGGTGGATTAGTGAGGAGCAATATAAGTGATGACCCTTATTGTAATCCAATAGTTTAGTTCATGGGGGAAGGAGAGCCAGGTGGCTACAGAGAAATTGCTTATCCTAAATTAATGTACAGCCACCCACGTTGGAGACATATAGCTATTCTGTAGATGCTGGATTTAATTAAAAGAGGAAAATCCTTTAACGATTTTGTAGGAGTTTCTGTTAGACAATACATGCGCTGTACTTTTTGTATGTAGAAGCTGTGATCTAATAATCCCACTTCAATATATTCCCTTCCTTTCATAGGTATATGTTCTTCTCAGATTGGGAGTCACTGAATGGACAACCAGGCCTGGAGCGGGCCTTCATGGATGGAACCAACCGCTATGGTATCATTAGCAGTAAATTGGGCTGGCCAGCTGGTATCACACTAGACATAGAAGCTAAGCGCGTCTACTGGGTTGATAGCCGCTATGACTACATTGAAACTGCAACCTATGACGGCTTGCATAGGTAAATACTTAATCAAATGCAACAAGTAGTAAGATTTTTCATTTATATATTCTAATAGATAAACATCCCTAATGTTTTTTCTGATAGAAAAACAGTGGTTCACGGAGGTACTGTGATCCCTCATCCATTTGGCATCAGTCTGTTTGAGCACAATGTCTATTTCACGGACTGGACCAAGATGGCTGTGATGAAAGCCAACAAGTTTACAGATAGAAGCTCTGAAGTGGTTTACAGAACATCTCAGACCCCACATGGAGTAGCAGTGATACATCAGCTGAAGCAGCCACAAGGTAAGACCATCAGAGAAACAAATCTTCATTATGATGGTCCTGATGCTGCTCATACTTCTCACGGTTTCTACTAATGTAAAGTATAAGTCTACCCAGATTATATAAGTTTTCCAGTAACCTGGATTGCTTTCTTTTGTGTCCAGTGCCAAACCCTTGCAGTGTAGACAGAGGTGGATGTGAGCAGATTTGTGTCCTGAGCCACAGGAGTGACAATGGAGGACTGGGTTACCGCTGCAAATGTCGCATGGGCTACGACCTGCATGCTGATGGCAAGCGATGTTTAGGTAAGAGATTATTTCTGTGTTTAATTGTTGCAAGGTTGTTGTTTTTTTGCAGACTTCAGTATGTTTCTTGGTTTAAAATGCCAAAAATAGTGTGTATACAGAAATCAACATGAGTTTTATACTGTTTTATACTCAGCTCTGTGTCATTAATGCCGGTTTTCTTTAATCTTGTCTGCTGATGTCAAACCCACAGCCGTGAGACAGTTCCTGCTGTTCTCCAGCCAGCTGGCTATAAGAGGGATCCCTTTCAACCTCTCTACTCAAGAGGACATCATTCTCCCTGTTACTGGATCCCCCTCCTACTTTGTTGGAGTGGATTTTAGTGCTGAGGATGATGCCATCTTCTTCTCAGACACAACCAAAGATATTATCTATAAACAGAAGGTGGATGGGACAGGTGAGCATCTTGTCTAGCTGAATTTAAACTAAAGATATGGCATAGAAAATGAAAAACATAATAGCCTTATTATGTTTGCACTGCCTTCCTAGCCTGGAGCTCTACCACATGATTTTCCAGGCCAACCCTGGGAGTTAAGGGGGTGCTCAAGAGGGCCAACTGCTGCTATGGGGGAGGGAACCGACAGGAGCACAGATCGTGTAAAATAGATCATATTTTATATAACTGATATCAGCCTAAAGACCTGAAAATAGAAATAATAAGGACCAAGCATTTTTGTTATGAAGTCACTAAAATATTACCTAAGCTGTGAAAGTAGCTACTATGTCACACACACACACACACACACACACACACACACACACACAGAGAGGAAGAAAGAAAGAAAGAAACAGCACTGCTCTGA